ATCTTTGTGCTAAGCACAGTGGTGTTTGCCTGGAACTCCAGTACTTTGGAGGCAGAAGCAAAGACAGTGTGTTCAAGGTGAGTCTGGACTATATTTCAAAGCTCCAGACCATCAGGGATATACATGAATAATACCTTGCCTCAAATTAAAAAGAATAATAATACAAAGATGTCCAAACCTAATTCTGTATTTCAAGTCATAGTTCTATCACTAAGAAGTATTATCAACATTCAAAGAGACCAGAAAAATCAAATGAAAAGAAAAATGAAATATAGCCATTGCTTTGGTATCTTGAAATCTATTATACTAGGAAGAGGCATTTCTATAGAGAAGCAGGATACACGGAAATTATTGGAAAGGTTAGGAATGAATGGCTGCCAATGAACCAGATACAATGAATATAAACGACTCCTATGAGAAAGCACAAAAAGCTACTATCTAAGCAAATCATTCAGGTTTCTCACATCTACCAGAGTGCTCGCCTGTGTGAATCTGTAGTGTCAATCCACATCCATCAGAGTGCTGGCCTGTGTGGATCTGTGGTGTGAGTCCACACCCATCAGAGTGTTGCCTCGTGTGTGGATCTGTGGTGTGAATCCACACCCATCAGAGTGCTGGCCTGTGTGGAACTGTGGTGTGAATCCACATCCATCAGAGTGTTGCCTCGTGTGTGAATCTGTGGTGTGAATCCACATCCATCAGAGTGTTGCCATGTGTATGGATCTGTGGGGTGAATCCACATCCATCAGAGTGCTGGCCTGTGTGGAGCTGTGGTGTGAGTCTACAGACATCAGAGTGCTGGCCTGTGTGGAGGTATGGTATACATGCAGGCTTATGTAGATATATGCACATGCATATATGAACTCATGTGCACATGTATGTGTGGGCCAAAAGTAGTTGAGTTTCTTCCTCAATGACTAGTTTTGAGATAGCTAGAGCTCACCAACTAACTAAACTTTCCGTCTAATGAGCCCCAGGAATCCACCTGTCTCCACTTCCCTGAGCTATAACAAATCCATACTGCCATGGTCAACTTTTTTTTTTTTACTTTTTAAAAAATTTTATTT